TTGGATGTTAGCTGAGCCCTCCCCATGATCTACCTAAATCCCTTAGCATTTTTCAGTGTGTTTAGGGCTTGTATTTCAGTTTTGTGGAAAATTATAATCATGTATTTTTAAAAGTTACAACATGTTCCTGAACATGTACTCATATAAAAGCAAAATGTGTCTTTTCTTCTACACTTGAAAATCACTGGCTCCTACACCAGCAGGTATATTTCCCCAGGTTTCCTTAGAACATGTTCCCAGTCGCATCCCTCCACCTGTAACAGACTGGTAACTAATTTCCAGTTTTGAGTGGCAAGATCACTTACTCTGTCAGTTGTATATTGCATAATAGTGCCATCTTGGTGTCTGATGGCACCAATTTAATCCAGAAAATTATATTCCTTTAAGATGCCTGTAATTTTAAACTGTCCCACAATGAGCACTAGGTCCAAAGCTTATCCTGAGGGTATCGCTTAGTCACAATCAAACTTTGGCTCAAGAATGCAAGGCCTACCAGCAGCCAGTGTAATTCAGCACAGAGAACAGCCTTTCTCTTGTGTAAACTGCCAAAATAACCTCCACATGTAACAGTGCCCAGTGGGAGCCCATTAAAAAGTATTTTGGCCGTTAGGACACAGGCCTGGGTCCCTTGAGTCTTTCACTGTCCTACACACTAGGTCCAGTGATGTTGAGAAAACAAAGGAAAACTATCACCACCCCAGGGCACTGGGGACTGAACCTGGGGCTTCATGCACGTTGAGCAAGCTTACTACCACCGAACTACAACCCCCGTTCCAACAAACCCCTTTTGGAAGGCACACCCGGTTCAGAAAACGGAAAGATTGGTGAGTGAAGCTAACTGAGCAGACTGCTGTACAGTCCTTTTATCCCTGAACCAAACCCCAAGATTTCTTTTTTATTTCTAAATTTTGAATGGTTCAGGTCTTTGTTCTTCATTTTTCTGCTTGGTTAGGAAAAGAAATCCTTAATAACATATCCCACTTCTGAAAATTCACCTCAGTGTTCAGATTTCACACAGAATTTTTATGTAAGTTTTAAACACCATTGCCTTAGCTATTCCTTTAATAACATGACTAGGTGCTACCTTCTACCCTGATGCTGAGCTGGTTCTATGATAAAACAAAACCAGAAGTCAGCTCTTCATGAAACTCTACTCTGGATGTGGATATTTTCCTACAATAAATAACATTACACATCATGCTTAGCACCACGAGACAAATAAATTGAGTACCATGACAGCAGATAAAGGAGAGAGGTTGAAACATACTTCAATGAAAAAGAGAAGGCCTCACTGAGGAAGTGACATTCAAATTCACATGTGAAAGATAAAAAGCGCTCATCAAAAGGTCCAGGCAGAGCAAACAAGAAAGGTTCAATGGTGAAAAGTTTCCTATGCTTGAGGATTTGAGGGAAGGCTCATAACTATGAAGCACGAATGACATGAGTTTATTTTCTGTAATGCTTAATATATGCTGGACATCCTGAAAAGCACTGTAAATGTATACTCTTACGTAAGCACTACCAGAAACCTCTGAAGCCAGAACCCTGCCATTTCCAAAATGACATAAGCATAAGAGGTTAAGAAACTATTTCAAAATCACATAGCACACTGTGAAACTTGGATTCAAGTCAATACTGCATGAATCCAAAACTCACTTTTCAGTTTGTTTGTTTGTTTGGTTAGCTGTTTGGTTGGTTGGTTTTTGATGTTGCTGTTTCAGCACTGGGCATTGAACCCAGGGTATTTACATGAAGCTACAACTTCAGCCCCTTTTATTCTGGAACAAGGTCTTGCAAAATCACCTAGCCTGGGCTCAAATTTGTGATCCTTCTGCCTCAATCTCCCAGCGTGCTGAGATTACAGGCTCATAACACGAAGTCTGGCTTCTGATTCACATTTCTATTGAGGCCGCTGCATGGAGGCCAAAGGCAGCAGAAGGGGAGTGTCTGAGTAAAAGAAAAGAGACCACTGAGTAGTCAGACTGAAATGGTCTTGGCCTGGATTAGAAGTAGATACACTGAAAATATATTTTGGTGTCAGACTGAATTAGGCTGGATGATGATTTACATGCAGAAAATAAGAGAAAAGGAAAAACTGAAGGTAAATCCCAGGTTTCTGGTTTTAGTACCAACTGAATCATGAAGAATGATACTGAAATGGTCCAGTTTGTGAAGGGGGCATAGATTCATTTAATCATTCCATAAATCTTTGCGCTTCTACTACATTAGTGTACAACAGGACACAAAACAAAGTACTGCTCTCAGAGTTTACATCACTGCAACTGGGAGTAGTTGAACAAACTAATTTGTAAACCAGATAGTGGTAAGTGGCTAGGGATAATATAAAGCAGATTAAGTAGGAAGGTTACTATTTTAAGTGAAAACTTCAAAAGAGTTTCTGTAACTTATAAGGACAGGCCTAACAAGAACAAAGGTGGCACTCCTGAAGCTAGAAGAAAAGAGACCTTGGCAGCGTCAAAACGTCTGCAAAGGCCCAGAAGCTGAAGTGTTCTTAGACTGACGAGAACGCCACTTTGATGTAGCAGAGCAGGAGAGGAAGAAAACATGAGATTAGGTTAAAAAAGGAACACATTATACAGAACTTGATTAGAGGTTTGATTTTTACTTTGAGTAAGACAGAAAAGTTCTGGAAGACCTGAACCAAAGAATGGAAGAGGGGTATTACACTGGTGATAATGTGAGAATTACACTAACAGGAGGCAAGAGTGAAAGCAGAGAGCAATGGGACAATAATCTGATGAGGGATCAGACCAGGGATAGTGAAAGAATCAGGTTTCCAAGAGTGGATAGGATTTGTCAATGAGATCAGATATAGTGGCTTAAGAAAGGAGTCAAGAAGGACTGAAAAGTGGTTTGGCCTGAAAAAAGGAAAACCAGAATGGTGGTGCCTGGGTTCATAAATTTAATTTGTTCTACGATTTTTGAAAAGATGGCCACGTTTGTGTTCGTATGGGAAAGGTGGGAAAGATGGTCATGGTCATGTTTGTCACCTGATGCAGAGTTTACAAACAAAAACAAAATGTTGCCAAATATTTGTTTCCAAGCCACAATGTTTGCAAACAAAAGCTTTGGTGAACCGAGGTGTCAATATACTGCCATTTACTGGGATGGGATGAGCTGTGAGGAACAGATATATAAAATAAAAATCAGAAGTTCAGTTTGAACGTTACAATGGAGAGACCTATTACAAATTTAAATACAGATTTTGACATGGGTAGCTGTTTTATAGAAAAGGAAGAGGTCTGGGTCAGAAATATTTAAAGTAGGCCAGGCGTGGTGGTGTACGCACGCCATGTAATCCCAGCAGTCCTGGAGGCTAAGCAGGAATTTGGGGCCGGCCTGGGCTACATAGTGAGTTTAAGGCCAGCCTGAACTACATAACAACACCCTGTCTCAAATAAGTAAACAAATAAACAAACAAACAAATAACAGAAACAGACTTGGGAAAAAGTGTAAATGGAGCATCCAGAACCTAATCCCGGATAAATTCTATCAGAAACTTCCAGCTCATATCTAGATTCTTAAAATAACCTGGCTTGATTTTTATATTACAACAGCAATGAGCCACAGCACTGAACTAAAAAAATTGCCATACAAATTTCCAAAGAGAAAAAGAACACTGTCCATGATCACAGGAATATTAAATCATTCTCAAATCTAGCGGTTGTACGGTGTAGGAGTTAAGAGCATGGGTACATGAATCCAAGTTGCCTGGATTTTAATTTGAATCCCTACACTTACTAGCTGTGTGACACAAGGCAAGGCACTTACTGTGCAGTTTCCTCTAAAAATGTACTGAACTGTGCAACTAACTTTTTGAATCAAGTATATTAATAACATTGAAACTAAACTATTGAAGTGAGGTATGGTGGTGCGTGCCTGTAATCCCAGCACTCCAGGAGGCTGAGGCAGGAGAAGCAAAAATTGAACTACCCCTGAGAGGTTTAGCAAGACCCTCCCTCAATATAAAAAATTAAAAGGGCTGAGAATATCGCTGAGAATGAAGATGCTGGGTTCAATCCAGTACCACAATAAAGAAACTACACTGTTAAAACAGAACACTCTGCAACTAATTATTAGTTTTTTTCAATTATCTGGGCTGGGTGTGGTGGCACACGCCTGTAATCCCAGCACTCGGGAGGCTGAGGCAGTAGGATCATCTCAAATTCGAGGTTTAGCCTGGGCTACCCTGAGTTCAAGGCCAACCTGAACTATATAGGGAGAGCTTGCCAAAAACAAAAATCCAAAACACGTTCCTGACCAGGGAGATAGCTCAGCGACACAGAGCCTGCTGGGCACGCACAAGGTCCTGAGTTCGAGTCCCCATACCAAAAAAAAAAAAGTGGAAAACATATTCCTAAGTACAATTCTCTTAACTAAGGGACTATAGCTCGCTGTCTTAAATTTTAAACAAAGCCAAAAGACGTTCCCAAATAAGTATTCAAACAATCTTTGGAAGCAGACAGGGGGAAAGGGACTGACCAGCTAGTCCTAGGTCACACAGTATGCACCTCTTAGAACAAGGTCTGCCTGTGACAAAGGCTATCAGGGGCCAAATCTCTCTTGGCTAGTCAGTGTTTGACTGTCTCCTGATCCCTAGAGAACGACTCTGATTTGCTTTCAAAGGCAGAAAGGTTAAACCAAGTTTTGAATGAGGCTACAACAAAGAACTAGGAACTGAACTCTAAGCAGTAACAGGGAAAGCCTCCTCTGGAGTCGCCATCTAGTCCTTCTCCTCCACTACCCAAGAACACGGTAGTGTCAAACTCCTCTCAGGTGGGTAAGGAGGAAAACAGCGCCTTCCCTCACCTGGCAACCCCCATCCCCAACCTGTCCACAGGCAACAAGGCGCCGGCGCAGAGCAGCTACTCTCTGTTTGGGCTCAGGGGTCCGGACAGGGCACCCCAAACTTCAGCCTTTGGCCACCAGGCGGGAAGAGACAGAAGAGAAGAAACAACAGGGCCGCGGCAGCCGCGTACCTCTCCTGGTCGCGGCTGTCGAAGTAGACGAAATCGCCGCTCTGGACGCACTTGGCGCAGGTCAGCCGCCGGCGGGTGGTATTGCACAGTGGACACCGCTCGACCGCCACGTACAGCCCCTCCGCATCGTCCACGGAGTCCACCAGGTCCCGGGCCAGGGGCCGGGGCCCACTGCCAGGAGCGTCGAGCTCCACTGCTCCCTTCCCACTGGGAGACGCCATGACGGTCGGAGCGCAAGGCCAGTCACGTGGGATTTTGTTTTCAACCAGGTGCATCCTGGGCGCAGGGCGGGCCCTGGGCGGGGCCTGGGCGGGGCTTCCCGGAGCCGGGGTCACGCGCGCAAAGGAAATGCCGCTGCGCTAACAGACCGCGAGGGCTCCCGGGCTTCTGCAAGGAGTTGCAGAGCTAAGCCCAAGGGTTCTGGGCGAACGGGACGGAAAGAAACAGAATGTAATTCGCTGAGGATCCTTTTACTTTTGGGTAAAGCTACACAACACCATGCGAGGTCCTGGAGCCCGCTGCCCTGTGGCACCCCTGCCTGCCCGGAGCCCGCTACCCTGTGGCACCCCTGCCTGCCCGGAGCCCGCTACCCTGTGGCACCCCCGCCTGCCCGGAGCCCACTGCGCTTTTCTTGTCAGGTGTCGCCGCAGCGTGCCGGGAGGTAGGTGCCTGTCACCGCTAACTTCTACCAGCAGTAACCAGTGAAAACAGCCTGACCCCAAGTTCTGTTGTGTTTGTAAGCCGAGCCTTAAACCGGCCAGCCCTCCTCCCGCCCCTGGGCTGTGCCTGAGTCTGGAGGAGGATGGAGGGGGCTGGAGGAGGAAGAGAGGAGAGGGATCGAGAGAAGGATGGAGGAAGATGGAAGAAAAGGAAGACGGAGGGGGAGGAGCTGGAGGGGGAGGAGGAGGAGGTGGTCCTAGCACAGGTCCCACAGTGTGTGCTGCCTAATAGGATCATCTCTGTGATCTTTTTATTTTCTGGCACTGGAGATTGAGCGCAGGGTCTTCGCATTGAGCAACATCCATAAAGGCCTTTTTAAACTTTTATTCTGAGACAGGGTCACCCAGGCTGGGCTCAAACTTGGAATCCTCTTGCCTCAGCCTCCCAGGGTGCTGGTATCACATGTGTGCACCACCATGTCCAGCTACTTCAATATTTTAAAAAGGCAGAATATAGACATTGTAATTTCTATTCTGCTATATATTATACATGATTTTTAGTTTATGCAATTATTTGAAATTTCTATATATTGCTGTGTATTTCAGCAAACACAAGTTAATGTTACTTATATAACAAAAGCAGAGCATTCAATTTTAATAATGCTATAATATTCTAACAAGGCCCCAAATCTTTCAAATTCTAAATTTTTCTTCACTTTTTAAAACATACAAGAGTCATTTTGAATAAGAAATTGTTTTCATTTCTTAGACGCAGTTACGTAATCGCCATGTAATATAAGTCAAAATGCAGTTGGACATCTACAATTAAAGCCAAAAGAATCCGGCTGTTTTGTGCTGAACTTCTACACACATTCAAAACAGCAAAATGTTGAATGATGTACTCAGCCTTTTTTAAAACTTTTTAGAATAGGATAGATGTTTTCAAATGCTTCATAGATCTCAGAACGTTCTTTGGCACCTATAAAGAAATCCAAGTTTACATAATCCTTTACATAAAAATACCAAAATTTTCTTAACACTAAGATTTCATTGTGTTAACTCCACATACTTTTTTTTTTTTTTTTTTAACAGCGCTGGGGATCAAACCCAAAGCTTCACATATGCTGTACTACTGAGCTACTACCTCCAGTCACTTTTAATATGAAGTCTTTTTAGCCATACCTGGCTACTATAGGCATTTTCCCACAAAACACAGACCCAGAGTTTTTCAGTACCCACTCTGTGGATATTGTCTTTAGCCACACAATTTGTTTTGTTTATTTCATTATTTTCTGTTTTAGACAGGGTCCAGCTGGTCTGAAACTCCCAGCAATCCTCCTGCCTCAGCCTCCTGAGAATTGGTATTACAGGCATGCATCATTATGCCCAGCATAGTTCTAAGAAATTTGAAGTACGGGATGTTACTACTAAGTGTGCCACAGACACGACTCCAGAGTGGCTTCAGCACCTGTGGGCTTCAGCAAAACAACTCTGAGATTCACTCATCTCTAGTTAACATCTTGATTATCTAATACTAACAGATTTAGAAACTGCACAACTATTACAGAGCTTTAGATTTTAGTGTATGGGAAAGGATTAGAGGGAAAAAAACTATAGCATTGTCACCCTAGAGTTTTGGGTTTCAGCGGATTTTTAGCGTCCTTATCTAGGAGTTAGGGTAGAAACAGAGACAGTCTCCGCCCTTGAGAAATATTGTCAGTCCCTCCTCCTCTCTCAGCATCAACCATCAACATGACTCCTTCTGCCTTCAGAAGTGTGGGCAGGTTGTGCAGGGCACTGTGGACTGGCAAGTTGTCCACTGATCAAGAAGTGATGATCTGGCACTTTAGGGACAGGAAGCAAAGAAGGAAGGAGGTTAATGAGAGGACTGTGAAAACTGTTAGCGTGAGGAAACATGGAAAACAGCTAAAGTTGATTAAGATTTTTCCTGAAACTAGGTGCGGTGGTGCACGCCTGTAATCCCAGCACTCTGGGACTCCGAGGCAGGAAGATTCCAAATTCAAAGCCAGCCCCGGCGATTTAGCAATTACATGTCTCAAAATTTAAAAAGGGCTGTGGATGTGGCTCAGGGTAAAGATCCTGGGTTTAATCCCCAGTACTACAACAAAGAACAGAACAGAACTACAAAGTTGAATAATCTGGGAAGTGGTTATCTGACTCTCTGATTTAATCCCAGCAGCATGCAAGAGGCAGATCAAGAGATTTGTGAAAAGCAGACAGAAATCAGAATTCAGAATCAAGAACAAGGGCCAGGGATTTAGCTCAGCAGCACAGTGCCTGCCTGGCAAGCGTGAAGTCGTGAGTTCGATTCCAAGTACCAAAAAAAAAAACAGTCAGGGAAGAGCTATTAAGTGTATACTTTTATTTAAAAAAAAAGAAAAATGAAAGCCAAAAATGCTCACAATGGTGGTAAGAATGTAAAATGGTTCAGAATGTGAAAAAGAATTGGGTAACTCATCAAGAAGTCAGAGTTACCACAGGACCTGGCCGTTTCTCTCCTGCCTAAACCCTATAAAACTTACAGCACCCATAGCCGGGGCATGCTTGTAATCCCAGCACTCGGGAGGCTGAGGCAGGAGGACTGTTGCAAGTTCAAGGCCAGCCTGGGCTACAAAGTGAGCTCAAGGCCAACCTGAACTGCATAGTGAGACCCTGTCTCAAAAAGACAAAAAAAAAAAAGCTGACAACACCCAAACAAGTACATAGATTTTTTACTGCAGCTCTCTTCATAGTAACGAGAGGGTAAAAACAGCCTAAATGCCCTGCTCAACACATAAATAGATAAAAATTTGTAGTATATTCCTGCAATATTAGCCATAAAAAGGAATGGAACACAGAGGAATGCTACAACAGGGATGGACCCCAGAAACATGCTGAGTGAAAAAAGTCATATGCGAGAGACATAATCCCATTTATATGAACTATCTAAAATAGGTAAATACATAAAGAAAATCAAAACTGCTATTTCCAGAGATTGCAGAGAAGAGAGGAATGTGGAGAGGGTGTGGATAAGGGCCTGTATTTTGTTATTGTTTCTTCACTACTGGATGCTGAACTCGGGGTCTCTCACTGAGCTCTATCCCCAGCCAGTTTTGAATTTTCTTTTATTTATTTATTTATTGTCTTTCCGTGACAGGGTCTCACTATGCAGTTCAGGCTGGCCTTGAGCTCATTTTGTAGCCCAAGCTGGTCTCAAACTCAGAACGATCCTCCTGACTCAGCCTCCCAAATGTTAGGATTACAGGTGTGGGCCACCACCCGCCACTTTAATTTTTATTTAGATAGGGCCTCACTAAGTTGCTAAATTGTCCAGGCTGCTCTTGAATTTGCAGTTTTCCTGCCTCAGCCTGCGGGGTGCTGGAATTACAGACAGACATGTGCCACCATGCCCAGGTTTTATTTTGGACCATGGGAAAATGTTTTAAATAGAGGTGGTGGTATATTTATAATTCATACAGTGTACCAAATGCCACTGAACTGTTTGCTTTAAAGTGGTTAAATTTATGTTATAGGAATTACACTTCACATTTTAAAATGTTAGACTCCTGAGGTGGTGCACACCTGTAATCCCAGCTGAGGATTAACTCGAGAGGCTGAAGCAAAAGGATCGCTGAGTTCGAGGCCACCCTGGGCTACACAGTGAGGTCAAGGCCAGCCTAAACTACATAGCAAGACCCTGTCTCAAAAAACAAAACAAAACCCAAAAGAAATTCAAAACTTGAAGAGGAAGTCCTTATACATTTACCTTTTTTGAGAGGTAAGGGTAAAATGTTACTCATGGCCCAAGAGTTTACTATTTGTGGTTCTCCAACCTGCAAGAAGTAGGCTGGTGAAGAGGGTGAGGTGTGCACAGATAAGAGAAAGTCTGCACCTTTGGGGTAAGAAAAGTCACTTTTACGTCTCAGGAAAGTTTAGTCACCGCACTAAAGTTTCAGTTTCTAAAGAGACTGGTTTTGTAGCAAACAAACTGAGCAGAGTTGGAGAAGCAATAAATAAAAGACTGGCGATGGGGGAAATGGATGAGGCAAGAGAAAGGGGAAATAAAAGAGACCAAGATCATATACATAGAATATATAGTTATATATAATGTAGATCCACCAATTCACCTCATGAATATATTTATTATGTACTGCAAACATATACTAATAATGTGCTCACTTCAGCAGCACATACACTGAAACTTATGCTAATAAAAATATTCTAATAAACTAACAGAAGTTTTAACAATTTAAAAAAGACTTACCAAAGAACTCCTTGCTCTAGCTTTATGGAAAATTTTGCCTTCTGGAACCACCTTCTTGTTAGAGACAGTGAAATATAATAGGGAGCAAACACACAAGCCCCAGCCCCAAAACCCGGACTGGGCCCCTCACTCTGCATTTCCTGAGAAAGAGTGTCCAGCATTCCGGATCACAGAGCCCTTCACTTTCTTCCGTAGCACTCTGTAAACCATCCCTACGAGCCCTGTCTCAGCACAGAAAGGACGCCTCCCAGAGTCCCTGGGGAGCAGAAACACCACCCCTCAAGAGGGAATGGCCACTGCAGTGGTCATGCTCTGTCACAGAACAATGACTGAGGTGGCAAAAGGGCAGCAAGGAAATTCCCTCATACCATTTCCTCACTTCAAAGGGAAATGAGACCCAAGAAATTGAAGTTGCCTGAATTATAAATTAGCATCTATGGGAGAAGATTGTGTCTCCCATCTTCCTTTACAACTAAGCATCACCAACACTTGTAACTGGTTGTTAAATGAGAGGATTCCATCAATTTAGTCAAATTTTTTTCTTTTGATGCTGGAGATTGACCTCCACAAGGGCTTTGCCACTGAACTATATCCCCATCCCTAGTCAAACATTTATTTAAACATTTCCTCAATGAAATATCAGTATCAAAATTTAAGAATATTGTAAGTAGCCCCACAGTCCTCTTAATAATCAAAACCCAAATTTGTAGCACCAGACTCCAATTAGATAACCCTTGCCTGTTAAGAAAAGCTTAGTTTACCTTTTCTGTAGTCTCTAACAACTACTTTAGAGAATAAGCACCATTCCCGACCTTAGTGGCTGAGATGAAAATTCTATGGCCACAACTTAAGTGCCAACTCTACCACTAACTAGCTTTTAAATAACTGGCAAATTATATAACCTTTGAGATAGTTTCCTTATCTATAAAAGAACAAACCTTCTCGCATGGTTGTTATGCTAACATGAGCTGATGTTTTAGGAAGTCCTTTGTAGACCACAACATTTTATCAACCCTAAGCCATTTTATTGTCCTAGAAAAATATATTCCGGGCCAGGTCTTGTGGTGCACGCCTGTTATCCCAGCACTTGGAAGGCTGGGCAGGAGGATCGCTGCAGGTTCAAGGCCATCCGGGACAACATAGGGAGTCCAGGCTAGCCTGAACTAAATAGTGAGATGCTGTCTGCTGGTACCTTCCTCCAGGTGTTTGTGTACCCCAAATTGGGCCCCTGAATTTTTAAGCCCTCTGCGAATGAAAAGAATCTTGCTACCTAAGGTTGAAGAACAAGGCCCATTTGGATCTAAGGTTGTGGCAAAATATCCTAAAACACGAAGTTCTAGGCAAGGTAATTTAGGACAAATAGCCTAAGCAGGTGGAAACCCGGATGGCTAATCATCAGTTGTCGTGCAGTTTTTTTCCTCGACAGCACTGAGGACTGAACCTCACACTGCGCTACATCCCCAGCCTTGACTTACCTAACAGAGGCAGAACTTAAATTTCAGCTGAAACATTTCATCCCTTCACAAAAGTGGTCATCCACATCTCACAAGAATGAAGAAATTTAGTTCACCTATTTTGTGTGCTTGTGGGGCACCACTCCAGACAGACTGCTTCAAGCTTCAAAGCTCACTGGAGCAGATAAGAACACCTCTGGCCAGCTTTGCGGATATGACCTGCTGTCTAGTGCAGGCGCAGGCGCAGGTGCAGACTGGGGAACAGTTACACAAGAATGACTTAGCTACACATGAGCTAATTCAGTCAACATGAAGGATTGTAAATATGAGATAACCACCTGCATAAGAGGTAAACAGTAAAGACACAGGCTGCTGTCTTGCTGCTGCCTGCCTTTTGAACCAGTGTCTGCCTCAAGTGCATTCTGGGAATCTCACCTGCCCAAGTACCTCTTCAGGCCCCTAGCTAGGACAGTGCTTAACAAACGTAAGGGAAGTATATTTCTATGGTCTTCAATGTTCTATGTTAATGACATTTTTACTTTTCTATTTGACACTTGTAGCTGAGGCAAGAGGATTGCATGTTTGAGACTAGCTGGAGCTGGGGCAATTTAGCAATATTCTGTCTCAAAATAAAAAGGACTGGGAGATGTAACTCAGTGGTCAGTAGTGGAACACTTACCTAGTATGTGAAAGGCTCTGTGTTCAATCCCTAGTCCTATGGGGGGAAAAAACCTAGCCAATGTGTACATGAGGATCTTTGTTTTTTAATTTAGGATAAGTGGAAAAGCTGATCTGAATTAAGGGTATTTAAAGAAACATACAATAAGACAGAAAGGTGGAACAAGCCTGTAATCATAGCTACTCAGGAGGTAGAAGGAAGAGAAACCCAGATTTTAGACAAGTCTGGGCAATTTAATGAGATCATATCTCAAAATAAAATTTAAAAGGGGTAGAGTTTTTGCATATTATGAGTGAGACTTTGTTTTCAATCCCCAGTACTGCAGTAAACCAACCAACAAATGACAAAAGAAGTTATCACAAGTTAATGAGGAGGCCAGGAACCTGTTTGTCAGGTTGGCGGGTTATCTGAAGTGGGACTGGAGATGAGTTGGCTCATGCCATACTAACTTGGCATTCGTTTTGGTAGAAAAGAAGAAAATAGTCAGGCATGATGGCATACACCTGTAATCCCAGCACTTGGGAGGCTGAGGCAGGAGAATCATCTTGCATTCAAGGCCAGCCTGGGCTACAAAGTGAGTTCAAGGTCAGCCTGAACTGCATAGTGAGACTCTGGCTTTCAAAAAAAGAAAGGATAATGTATAGTAAGTCAGACAAAACTAGATGAAAATAGCAAACTAGATGAATAGATTAGCATGGAAATGAGCCAACAATATCCCTTAAGAATTCTTTAAAACCTTCTTATATAAAAAACTGGTAATAATAAGCCAACTGTAAAAAGACAGAAATATAGCAAAGAATAATTATCTCTAAGATTATGGTGACCAGGTATGGTAGCACATACTTTTAATCCCAGCACTCAGGAGGCTGAGGCAGGAGGTTCACTTGGAGTTCGAGGCCAGCCTGGGCTACAAAGTAAGCTCAAGGCCAGGCTGAACTGCATAGTGAAACCTGGTCTCAAAAAAAAGATTATGGTGAACTCACACAAATCCCTAGGGAAAAAAAACTAAGTAGAGAAAAGGGTAAATTAGGTATACACTATTTACAAGAGATAAAATGTTAAGCTGGTATGGTGGCACATCTGTAGTCCTAGCACTCTGGAAGCTGAGACAGATCACTGAGGGTTCCAGGCCAGCCTAAGCTACCTAGTGATTTCAAGGCCAGCCTGAACTCTCGAAAAACAGAGAGAGAGAGAAAGATAAAATGCTATTCATTGGATATGTTGAAAAATGATCAATTTATAGTCTCTTTGGGTGGGCAGAGTACTGGGTATAAATCCTGGACCTTCGCACTGAGCTATATCCCAAACACGTGTTCACTCTTTTTTCTACTTTTCATTGGTTATAGAGATTAACACTTTCATCATGGCAGATCTGGATATGCGCATAATATCCTGTGGTCATTTTCACACACATACACATGCCCCCTTCCTCTGCCCCCTGTTTCATATTTGAAGGGAGATGTCAATATCTATCATTTGCTTGTCTCTATCACCCTTATTACCCACTCTTATACCCCCTGCCCCTTCCTCTTATTCTCTTCTTGTCTAATCCCTGCCTGTGTTTATTTTTTTATTTTGATACCTGTTCTCACTAGGACACCATGTTGCCCAGGCTGGGTTCCAACATGGGATCCTCCAGCCTCACCTCCCAGAGTGCTGAGATTACAGGTGTGCACCACCACCCCTGCCATCGGCTTCTGTTTCTGATTACCAGTGATGTTAACACAGTGAAATCATTTCACTTACACAATTTAAGAAGTTTTCTTTTTATGTTTTTTTGGTGTTGGTGAGGGTTTGGTAAAAGATACTTCGATACATTGCTGGGACACAGGAAAATTGTATATATCCTTAAAAGAATTTGGCAATTTGAACTAAAAACCTTGGAAATAGTCATGTCCTTAAACAAAAGTTCTGTTTTTTTTTAAAGTAGGGTCTTGCTCTGTAGTGCAGGCTGGCCTTGAACTCACAGTGATCCTCCTGCCTCAGCTTCCCAAATGCTGGGATTACAGCCATGCCAGAAGTTCCATTTCTGAGCATCTATACTAACAAAATAATTCTCCACATGTAAACATAGCCAAATGTGTATACCATTTATAAGAAGCAAATAAAGAAGGAACATTCAAGAATCTGACAATAGGAGAATAAGCTTGCTTCCCTATCTTGTAGAACAGAGGTCAGGAAATATAGTCCTGCTGGCCAAAGTCAGCCTGCTGACTAATTTTATCAGCCTTTAAGCCAAAAATGGTTCTTATATTTTTAAGTGGAGGGGGAGGGATTAAAAAAGAACAGTATTATGTAACATAAAAGTTCATATTTCAGCACCTGCTCCTCTTTGTGACATCCACTGCTATCTGCTTTGCAGAGGTACAGGTCAGTGGTGAAGCAGAGACCCCGTGGTTCACAGAGCCTCAGGCAGAAAAGGTCTGTGGACCCCTTTAAACACTGCTCAGCCACAAAAAGCCTTCATGTGCAAGTCTAACAATCAGGTTGTATGTGTTTTTTATATGGGTTAATAAAAAGGCAGGCTATAAATGTGTGCATGTGTGTGTGTGTGTGTGTGTGTGTGTGTGTGTGTGTCTATGAAAACAACATAAAATGTTTCACGAATTGGGATTTTCATTTTTCCAGTATTATACAGTAGCAAGAATGTTACTACCTGGGCTGAACTAATGGTGAACAATGCTGTTTAAAAGGAAAAGCAAAGCATATAGCTATTGAATTTTATGAAAGTAAAAAAAAAAAACAAAAAAACCACTTACAACTTACCTGTCAGCACAACTTTTCCAGATACAAAGATAAGCAACACAATTCGTGGTTTTACCATTCTATAAATAAGGCCAGGAAATAGTTCAGGCTCATAACTATTAAAACAGAAAAGGAAAAAGTTAAAAATAGCACTATTCATCTATTTTTGTAAAACTCAAGACCCAGTGTATTAAAACTGCATATCATAGTAGTTGTAAATAAGTACTATGTTACCAAAACCCTTTTAGCTATCTTGATTTAAAAAAATAGTTCTGAGAGTAGGTATTTGTTTATCACTTAGAATACAATTTTTGGTTATAATATTTTTGATTTGCAAGCCGTTCTAGGCTAAAAGAAACTGAGGTAAACTTGGTCATCAGATTTGATGTATTATGATCTTGCTGGTTAAAGTTCTCCATCTTTGATCAAAACTCTGCCAATGTAAACACTTTTTGAGATTTTACATATTCCCAATAAAATAAAAAATTTATTTGGTAAGCATTTATAAGTTGTTAAACATTTTTAGCAGATAGAACCTGAAAACAATTCTAGACTATAACCATTTGTCTTTGAATGTTTGCCATATGAGATATGACTGAAAAATACAGTTATGTATAAAATGTAAACATATGTAAACATTATGTATGTGTAATATACAGAACTTTTAAAATGTTTTACTATAGTTAAAAGACACTGTCATTAATCCCCCTCTACATACTCTCATTGGCTTCAAACACTTGTCTCTTTCTGGAGCAGTTTGGGAAATCCCCTTTCTCATGTCCTAGGTGTGCTGCTGTGGCTGAGTCCATGTTCTCAGTTAATTTAAAGCATTACCCTTCATGCATATTCATTCTAGGGATAAGCCAAAAGCTGTACAGTGCCAGATGTTCTACTTTGACAGAAATTGCTGCAAATGTTTTGGCTTGACTCAGGACATCAAAGCAACCACAAAAAGACACTCATAAAAGAGGATTTCCAGAACTGCTTCAGAAAGTGATAAGAAAGAACGCATAAGTATGTTCCACATGCAGGGGAATATTGAAGGAAGATGAGTGGCAATGTGTCTTCCACTGTAATAATTGTTTCATTTTTAATTAAAACATTCACCATAGTTTTTATCACACCTTGTACAAAGAAAGACAACTAACACACACAATTAAAAAGACATTTCTGGGCTGGGCAACAGGCATTTCTAAAATGCCCCAATATAAAGAATACTCCCGCTGCTGTATAACCTGAGGATGAAAGCCAGATGGAGCATGTTTGGGGCAGGCAAAAACAAGACTAGAAAGAGACAGCCGAGGGAAAACAGAATGCCCTGGCCAAATGAAAACAAGATGACTGAGATCATAAAACCAGCCTACAAGGAACACAGAACTGGAAAAGCCCAGTTCAGGTGGCTGATACCGCGCACTTGATGAAGTCTCACTGGGTGCTACTGCCAAATTTCAGAAGTTGGAAATGGCCGCGAGAAACACTTCTAGTCTATCCTTAAATCTGCTCTACAAAAATATACTGTTGGCTAAAAGAAGAAAAAACAGGAGAAGCTGCGCTTATCGTTTTAGACCCCTTAGTAGTGAGAAAGGGAGTGTGAAGTGTGGTGTAGACACAAAATTGGTTTCAAGAAAGGTACACTTGAGGGCCATGACTTGAGAATCTGCAAGGTAAGATGGCTTCCTGTTACCATTCTTTAAAATGAAGGATTTACGGCCAGGCCTGGTGGTGCACACGTGTAATCCCAGCACTTGAGAGGCTGAGGCAGAAGGATCACTGTGAGTTTGAGGCCAACCTTGGCTACAAAGTGAGTTCAAGGTCAGCCTGAATTGCACAGCAAAACCCTGTCTCCAAGAAGACAAAAAAAAATTATTTTGAATTAAATGAAGGGGGCCAGGGATATAGCTCAGCAGCACAAGTGCCGGCCTGGCAAGTGCAAGGTCCTGACTTCAATTCCCAGTATCAAAAAATAAATAAATAAATAAATAAAATGAAGGATTTATTATAAATTATCTCACAGTTGAAGAAAAATAAAGATAACTAATGAGGCAGTATATTCTCCATGGGACACAGTCAAAGCTCCCCAGTGAGCTCAGGTTTTTTAAAAATGGTGTAGGGAGGAGAGAAAGAAAATGGAAGAGTGGTGATTGGTAGCAAAGTCAGCCACTCAGATCTGGAATTCAGACACTGAAAATAACAGTTTTTCAAAGAAAAAAAAAAAAGACAAGCAGACCGCTGGGAATCTGGAACTGACAGAAAAAATTAGAAGCTACAGAAGTTGGAAAGAAGGACCACAGTGCAGAGAAAAGAAGCAATTTGGACTCTCTCTCAGCACTTGCAGCTCACAGAGAAGGGATCAGGGCAAAGTAGCTCCCAGGGCTGGGGGACCCGGGGAGAAACAGCAGCAGTCAAGAGGGTTTGTGAACTGCAGAAGCAGCATGAGGTTTTGTGCCCACAGAACTCCTTCCACACTGTGTGAACAACCCGGAGAGGAATGAAGCACAGGCGTTCACCTTCCTGCCAAGAGTGTTCGATAAGGTACCATTATGGGAAGGGGTTATTGTTTAAATCTGTGATTCAGAACAACTAAAAGACAGTTTCACTTCAGGGCTCCCAGTTTTACCCTGCCATGCTGACTGGGTGAGACAGTCACAGAGAACAGCCATGGACTGGGAATGTGCTGCAGAGAGATCCCCTGAGAAATACAGACTCAGGGCAGGAAGGACATGGGCCCAACTGACCCATCCTCAGTACTCCTGTGGTCAGAGGCCAGGCCCAGCTTGAGTCATGCTCAGAAACAGGAGGGTCTGAAAGTGACTGCTGACATTAAATACTTGAGCCCTTGTCCTGCTGCCTATATCCAACACAGATCTGAGGTCTGGTTGCTTCTTCTACCCACCAATAAGAGCAAGAACCTGTCTCAGTATGGACATTGCCACAGCCTGAGGAGAACAACGGCTTCTGGAACAGGGGGTACACCTCACAGCTTCACAGGATGTAAGGCTAGGCAGAGAAAACAGACTTTCTGGACTCCAGAACTATGGCTACTAGAAGGAAGCCACTCATTCAGAAATTCAAAGAAAAAATTTTTGGTTTTGGACTCATTTTTTTCTTTTTTTCTTACTTTCTTTTTTCTTAATTTTTTTCTATTTTTATTCTCCATATTATTTTTTCTCGTTTTCTTTTACCTTCTAGTTCTCACTTTTTTTCTGTTATCCTTTATCTAATTCTACAAATATCCTTCTACTCTATAAAGGATCCTGCTTCCCTTTTGTCTCTTCATCTCCCCTTGTTAATTTTTTCAAATTTTTCTTCTTGCATTTGCCTATGTCCCAAACTCTGTATCTTTATATTCAGTACAGCCATTCAGCTTTATTAATCTTTAGGTAGGTAACTCTATTAATTAGTGTTGAATTTTTTTCTATCATTAGTAGAGGTATAGTTGTTACATTTTGTAGATATTTTCGGTATGTCAATATTTGGTTTGTTTTAAGGTTTTTTCTGTAATTGTAGGTTTCTTTTCTAAAGTTAAGGGTGGTACATTATTGGCTCTAACGGTATGTAACATCCAGTTTGTCTTGGACAATATCACTGTTGCTGATTTACTTGATATTGCCCAGGGTGCATAATCATTGCTATTAATAGGTTTTCTCTGTATGTCAATACCTAGATTACCTTCATGACATTAACAATACTGTGGTCCATTCCTGGAGAGTTGGGTGCTGGGCCAAGGGCACTTCATATCCCCCCCATATTAACAAAGGTGACCAGATCTTGGGCAAAGGGACACACCCTTAGTGCATCACTGAAATGCACATGAAAGAGATCTCTGTACAGTAATGCCTCACTTCAGAAATGCCTCGATTCAGTTAGCTGACAGAAGCATTCAGCAACAGTTTGCTTCCATTTCTGAGCTCCACATCTGGTGACAAACACAATTGCAGCCATATTTCCCCTGACACGTGGTCATAGCTTCCTCTGATTAACATTGCAGTCACACATAGACCTGTGCACACTTGCTGTGAAACAGTACTGTAGAGTATTATTCAATCCAGCAGGTACCAAAGAAATTACAGAGCAAGTGTGGTGGTAAAAAGAAAGTGCAGAGCGGTAATGAAGGTGACAAGCATGTGCAGAGCAAGAATGAAGATAAGAAAGTTCAGAGCAAGAATGGTAAGAAGGAGGTTTTGAAGAAAATAACCATTGAATTGAAGAAGGAAATTACCTGAGCATGGTATTCGTGTGACTGATCTGGCCTCAGAGTACAAGATGGCAAAGTCATAAAAAAAAAAAATTAAAAAAAAAAAAAAGATGGCAAAGTCAACAATCGCAACTATTTTGAAGAGCAAAGACACCATCAAGGAGCTCAGGTGAGAAAAGGAGTAATGATGTTAACCAAACAGGGGACATAAGTGCTGGAAGAGGTGAAAAACTTGTGTTAGTGTGGTTGAATGAGAAACGGCTGGCAGGTGATAGCACTAGCAAGGCTATGATCTGTGAAAAAACCAGGAAATTGCACAGTGATTTACTGCAAGGAAACCCCTCTACATGTGCAACAAGTGATGAATTTAGAGCCAGTAGACGGTGGTTTGATAAATTCTGCAAGAAAAGTGGCACACACAGTGTGGTAAGACATGGGGAGGCTTCCAGTTCTGACAAGGCTGCTGCAGAAAGCATTAGATAAGAATTCACGGAATTCATGAAGGCAGCAGGGTACATTGCTCAACAAGTGTTCAACTGTGATGAAGCAGGGCTCTTCTGGAAGAAGATACCAAATAAAACCTACACCATGCAGGAGGAAAATGCCCTGCCATGGCACAGTCCATGAAGGACAGGTTGACTCTTTTGTTCTGTGCAAGTACAGGCACCAATCTGAAGATTAAGCCACTACTGGTGCACCATTCCCAGACCCCTCACGCATCATAGGAGCAGAATGTGAACAAGGCCAGGCTGCCTGTCGTGTGGAGGGCCAATGCAAAAGCTTGGGTCACAAGGCAGTTGTTCATGTAATGGCTGCTCAAAATTTTCAAACCCATCATTAAGAAATACCTTTCTGATTTGTGCTAATATTCTCTAGACAATACTTCATGCCTATATTCTGTACTCTGAGTAACTACTATGAAGATAACAATGCACAATGTATTAATTATTGTTACTCTCCCATTAGCCCGATTTATTTTACTGTGTTTCTATTTTTCTTCTCCCTCTCTTTAAAAAAAAAAAGAATTTGTGATAGAGAAAAGGGGTAAGGAAGGAAGGGAAAAGGAAATATATATATAGAGAGAGAGAGAGACAGAAGATAGTTAGGATAGTAATACAGCTAGTTTCTCTTAGTTCATTGAAAAGAAAGGTCCATGCTAATATTGTTTGGACAATTTTTCATGCCTATATCTTGTACTCTGAAAAACTACTATGTAGATAACAATGTGCAATGTATTAATTATTGTTACTGTCCTACTAGCCTGTTCCAGCACTTATGTCCCCTGTCCTACTAGCCTAATTCTGTTGTATTGTTGTTTTTATTTTTTCCCTTTAAAATAAAAAACTACAAATATTTTAAAAATAAATATCTCTCTGACAGGAAACTGCCTGAAAGGTGCCCTCTTCTGGTAGACTGCCCCAGTACACCCTTCAACCTTGGTGATACGGATGCTGAGTGTGATTTCATAAAGCTCAAGTTCCTCCCCACAACAGGACACCTCTTCTGTAGCCCATGGACCAGCAAGTGGTCTGCAACTTCAAGAACCCGTACACGAAGGTGCTCCTCACCAGATGTTTTAATGTCACTGAAGAGATGTCCTTGACTCAGTTCTAGGAGAAACATTTCAGTGTCCTCTACTGACCAACCTCACTGACAAAGCCTGGGAAGATGTCATGTGCTGGACCTTAAACTCAGCCTGGAGGAAACTGTGGCCAGAGTGTGACTTTAAAAGTCTGATGCAGGTAACGGAGATCGTGTCCATGATGAGAGTATGGGTCTGGATGTCAGTGATGTAGACAGAGAGGTGCTTGTTGAGAATCATAAGGAAGAGCTGACAAGGGAAGAACTTGCTGAACTCTAGAGCGAGCAGCAGAAGGTGCACGTTGAGAAGCATCCACTGAGGAAGAGGAAGACAGGAGGTTAGCTGTGATGGATAAAATCCATTATGGAAAAAGGGAATGAGTGCCAGGATTTCTTTGAAAGGCCCTGCCCCAACGTAACTATAATGTTGAATCTGATGAATGATAACATGGTCTCTCATTTCCAGAAGATTATGCGGCACAGGAAAAAAATGACATTAGGCAGATTTTTCATCAAAATTGACCTTACAGCTAAGAAGAATAAAAAGAGAGGAAACCCCTGGAGGAGATCACTCAATGTCCTTACAGAGGGGCCCTCTCCCTCTAAACAGCAGTCCCCTCCCACCCATCTTCCTGTCCTCCACGCCAGAAGTCACCTTAAACAGGGTTAGTATGCTCTCTCTTCATTCTGTACTTTGCTTCCTATTATTGGGGTTTAAAAATACATATGGTTCAGAATGGATTAACCTTATTTATATTCAGTTTATGAACAGAATCGTGGAACAAGTTAAGTTTGTGAAATGTGGCACCACTGTACTAGCAACAGCCTTTCCACTGTAAGCAACTGAAAACCTAAGCCCAAAACACACAAAAAACGGGGCTGTGTGTAGTGGTGCTAACCTCTCATCCCAGCACCTGGAAGGCTGGTGCAGGAGATTCACCATGAGTTTGAGGCCAGCCTGAACTGCACAAAACTTTGTCTCTAAAGACCAAAACTAGAAACATGAGAAGACAAGGCAACAAAATGCCTCCCCAAACATCCATTATCCCTACAGCTGAGACATGGGGCAGTGAGGGAGAGAAAAGCAAAAGCTGCATAGAACATATTTGAAAGTGTAACAGAGATTAAAAATGGATCAGTGAGATGCATGGTGGGCTCAGAGAAAATATAACTAATCAGACCATGAATGTAATAAATCAGCCAGGGAGCTTACAGAAGACTCTAATAAAAAGCTAACTGAGCTACACAAAGTGTTATAAAAACATGACCAGTTGAGCAAAGAACTGAAAAATTTCCATTGAAAGGTTCCAAACACAAATCCACAAGATTAAAAATTATACTAAAATTATGGGTATCGATTCCCACTACCAGAAAAAAAAAATTTTAAAAACTAAAATAAAACTACGGGTAGCAGAAGTGACCAATGTGAAGACAGAATATCAGACTTAGAAGACAGGAATGCTGTTAAAGACCAGTTACTTAGTAATACCTTAAAAACAACAAGACAACATGAAAAAATGATTCCAACACCTGCTAGATAATACAGTAAGTCCCTGACTTATGAACAAGTTCCGTCCGAGGAGAATATAAGTCAGATTCATTTGTAAGTCTGACAAAGTGAGTCTTATATACCTTTGACACAAATATGTAAAGCATAAAAAAAATACTGTATGTAAATTGACTTTTACAGTTGCCTTTAGTTGGTGGTACAGTGTACTACTACTCTAAATAAGCTATATTCACCTTTGGTTCCATAGTTACTGCTTTGCACTTCCTAGCAGTCCCTTCCACAGCACCTCTGATGATTCTTTTGCTTTTGGACATCCTGGGCTCTGCCCGAGCACTGTACTGTACACCATCACACTGCACAGTAAGTACGCTGCACAGTAAGCACACGGCAGCACAACTGTGACAGTGTCTGGCAGACACAGGAACTACTTCC